CTGGAATACGTCTTGGGATAGTCGTTTTGGTCCTAAGTGAGCTTTTTTAACTGGGCTTGATTCAGATTCAATTGAAACGTGTCCAAACAACAAAAAGAACTAGAGAAACTTTTTTTTTTTGTATTATTGCTAATCCACAAGTAGATTTATATTTGATTCTACGAATCGATCGATTTGTTAAATTGGACGCGGTTTGAAAAAAGTTGGTGTACGAGTCGAGATGCTTGAAACTATGTGGCAAAAGCGAAAACTGAATTTCGCTCGATAGGACACAGCCGAAAGAAAGTAAATTACTTTGTCTTTTTTCCCCCCCAACGAGAGAAACGCAACAGATCGCGGAAGAAGCGAATTTTCAGAAAATATTTTTAAAAAAAGGCACTATCACAATATATATTATATACATTACACTTCTTAGCGGAAAAACCTATTTAAGAAATTGAAGAAAAAATGTCTCTTTGATATTACACCGTTTGTTCTCGATTTTCTTCTTTTTAGTTTTCTGTTGTTCTTATTCTCAACGATACGAACTGAATAAAACGTCTCGAAATTATCAACACCTCACGAGCTTAGAAATATCTTCCTGTAACGCACTCGAACTTGATTTCTGTACTTTTCTTTCCTATCTCTATTCTGCTTTTACACCGAATACACGTTATATTTTCTTTGCTGATTTTTTTTTTCTTTTTTTTTAATGTGTGATCGTTGTAACTTAGCAACTCTCTCTTGGTTTTAACTGTTTCAAGAATATACGTATGCGTGTTGGAAGCTTTCGAGTGTGTTCTTTTCCTTCATATATCGTCGCGTGCTAAATTGTTTCGATAACTTGTTTATATTACTGGATGATAATAGAGCTGCGCGGCTACTAAACATTTACTGGCCCATCGATTTTTTAGCGTTCTTTTCTTACAATATCGTGCAGTTGCTTGTTTTCTGGAGTTACTCGATACAGTGAGAGCGTAATATCTGTTCCACTATTTCGCGGTTCTACGCGGTCGATTTATAACTTAGGCTGAGACAATCTAAAGTGAACCTCCTCTTTTTCTTTTCTTCAATATCGTTAGTGTTCTTCGTTTAGTTTTTTAGTTATAGATGTTTAATCGATGTTAAGATCTACACGGAACGTGTTACACAGTTATACATTTACGCGTGTCTGGGACAATAAACCGAATGGAAAATTCAAAGGTCGATTATTACCGTGGTTATTTTCAAGACCTAAAAACCTGGGATCAAAGTGATGGTGCGGGGGTGGGTCAATTAGAATGAAAGGAGCGCATTCGTAAATGGGAAATTACTTATAGAGGTGTTAGTTCGGCGGGAAATTTAAATTGTTAGTACGGCGGGAAATTTGAAAAATGAAACTTACAGGGAATTTCTCTCGGGAAGGACAAATTGCAATAACTTAGGAGGGGTAGAGAAAAGAACAAACAGCAGAACTGTAACCGAATGAAAATAAGAAAAAATAAAAACACTAAAATATTATCTATCGAAAGATAACGCTATCCAAGGGAACGTTCGAAAACAGGACTACTGTTGCAACGAAACGGCTCGATAATCATTGAATAAAGTGTAACTACAACACCCGATATAGGACGGTAAAACACGATAAAGAAACGGTGAAAATTCTCGAGGAATTGTGATTAACGAAACGAAGGAAAAAACCGGAACACCAGAAGGCCCGAAAACCGATTTCTGTTTCTACTACTGCTACTGCTACTACTACTGCTGTTTTTCCTCGACATTTTCCTCTCGTCTGACTGCATAACTTTTGTTATTCTCTTCTTTCTAGTCGAGTTTTGTTGTGATACGCAAAAAGAGGATTTTCAGAAAAGTTTGCTCTTCTCTAAGTTTACCCTTTAACCCCCCTCTTCCTTTTCAAATGGTTCACAGCACCGCGTAGTGGTTACAAGGAGATTCGAAACGTTTTTCGGGACTGTTAGGAATGTTTCTTCTATTTTTGCTCGGGTTTCTTGGTTGTTCAGTATGGATTTCAAAGCGGGAACCCCCTCCCACGAGGAAGAGGGGGCTTAAAAAGGATTCTTCTAGGATCAAATCAGGTCTCGAAAACTGCTATTTTCCTCTGCCTTTTTCTCTGTGTTTACGATTTTCTCTGTGTTTTCTGTTTGAAAAATGACTCGAGCGCAGCGGAGAAATCGTCGAAAAGGAAATTTTTTGTTTTCTGTTTCACACACACTTCGATCCGGTACACGCGAATTTATTCCCTGACAAACACACGCTTTTTGGTTGTTTTTCTTTTTTTTTTTTTTTCAAACACCTCAAGTTCCCTCTTTCTAAAAAAAATCACAGTTTATTCGCCGCCTGAATTTCTCATCGGCGAAAACCCCCCCTTTTCACAGTTCTTTCTTTTACTCTTCTCGCGAAAGAATTTTTAGTTTCTGCTCCGTCTCGAAACACGAACGATGCCGAATATTTGTAATTACACAAAGAGGACGTTTTTCCTATTTCTTCTCTATTTATTTGTTTCTTAGAATCCCAAAAATGGATCTCGGATGTCACGCGGGTATCAGTCTTCTTTATTTCCTGTTATTTTTTTTTTGTTTTTTTGTGGTTTTTTTTTCTTTTAATTCTATCCAACTTTCTTGTGTCTCGCAGAAAAGAACCGAAAGAGAATTTATTACACGTGAGGTGTGTGTCGGTAGCACCCCCCTCCCCGGAAACGGGGGCGCCGCTCTGGGACTTAACAAAACGGCTTCTCTTCGCTTTTCTCTTTTGTTTGGTACGAGAACTTTTCGGATCTCCTTTTCTCGCTATATATAATCTCTATATGAAAATAAATGCTTCTCGAATCATCAACGATAAGACCATATAGAAAACGATTCAATACGAAATTTTATATATACAAAAATGCAGGCGCGCAAAAAGTCTTTGTTTTTTCGTATGTGTGTATAATAAATCTGCAGCAGCACAGTATCTGGAGATTTTACAAAAATCTGTCTGTCTATGTGTCGGTTTCTCTTTCTCTTAGCTACTTTACTCGAGGTACGAAATAAGTAAAGGTCTTTTCCTTTGTATCACCTACGCACATCTTTTCTCCCTTAGATTTCTTCTCTCTTAAAACTCTCGAAAAACTAGCTCGCCGGGTCTTCAGGTACGGACCTGAGGAACCACGGTTCGCCTCTCTCGCCTCTTTTCAACGTTTCCCCCCCCCCCCCTTTTC